TTGAAAAAGTACCCCAGTAACAGCTTTTTTTCTTTCCCCCCCCCCCCCCCCCCCCTAAAGTGTATTTTAATTACACCTATATAATTGTACAGTTCTATTTTCAGAAGTTTAGGGTTGATAAGATTTTCGGAAATTTTTGAAATAAATCTTCAATGCTTACTAAAGCTGAATTTATTTGATCAAAAATACAGTAAAACAGCAATATTGTGAAATACCTTAATATATTTTCCATTTGAACATATTTAAAAAAATAAAGTATTCCTGTGACACGTACTCCAGTCTTCAGTGACACATGATCCTTCTTATTCTAATATGCTGATTTGGTGCTTAAGAATCATTACTTATTATTAACATTGAAACATTTTTTAAATGTACATTTTAGTCACTTTATTATACATCATCCATGATCCTAAGTAATTTAACTAAGTAACTTGTAATTGCCTTTTAGGTGTACAGGGTATTGAAAAAAGGGATCTTTATTGGTATTAACAATGTTATTTGAGATTTAAAAGGAAGATCAGAGAAGTCTTTCATCACTTTCTTGTTTAACTGAACAAGTGACTAATGGACCTTTCAATGCTTCACCTGGAGGCGTCTGTACATCCAACCTGTTCAGAAACAAGCTCTTCATGTACCAAAGCACAGAAGAAGATTGTACAAGAGATTGGCCTCAGGCTGTATGGTTAAATACGTTGTACACGCTCACAGAAACACACTAAATCTGTTTTTCCTTTATTATTATTATTTGTAGAGTGTCAGGTGGAGTTTATTGTTGTTGTTTTTTTATAGCAAACACCTGATAGACTTTTTGCCTGAAAGCTATTTTTGTTGCATTTCGTTTTCAAATAGGCTGCTCTGGGTCTAAATAACTTTAAATGATTAGAAAATGATTACAAACATAATTACATAAAGAAATGAAGAAATGTACGAAACCTAAAAGTATAAAGAGGTTTTATATGGGCTTTATTATAATTTAAGAAAACATTACACAACTATCATTTGTCAAATTCGGCTGCTTTAAATGCCAGACAATACAGTAGTTTGATTGGATGCACAGTCTTTGATGCCAACAACAAAAGGAAGTTTTCTCCTCTCTTTCAAAAATTACAAGCTTATTTATTTTGCTATCCTAACTATGCACAATTATTAGCATTGCTTTTCCCTGCTATTGTTCTGCTATTGACATTTTAGGTCACAAACCACTTGTTGAAAATCACTTTGGTATTGTATTATATAAATGCTATTGTATTGTATTGTATTGTCCATAAATAGCACATGACAGCATTTCTTCAGTGCTACTCAAATACATTTAATTTGTGTATTACAGTATTTAAAACAAACTTGGTTTAATTCTGACTTAAGCGTGGCATCCTGGCTAATGAAAACAACAACAACACTGCACCCTAGTGGGCGAGAACAACATTGCACTGCATCTCACTGTAAAAATACATTAATTACAGCAGCATGGTGTGGAGTCTGTATATCTTGGAGCCAATCTTAATCTCACACTATGATGTAGGTATCAAACTCCACTCCCCCACCATGAATCCAATTCATGGACGCAGATGGAGGAACAGCCATCTCCACACCCAGGCTTGAGGATTATTGATGTCCTTGCACTATATTTAGCTGTTACCCATCTGGTGGCACACACGTCCCTTTCCAAATAAAAATGATCAAAGCCAAGGCTAAACTCTGCACTCAGACTCACCTCTGGCTAGAAACATTCAGCACAATGATCGATCACTCCACGTTTTATGGCAAGTGGAGGACTAAATTATTTTACTGAGCAGAAGAAATCTTTACTGTTTTATGCTTTATTATTACACAGTATTACTTTATTCTGATTGGACTTCTCCCTACTTCCCTACTAGTATCCAAAAAGCAGTACGGGAAATATGTCCAAATTCTCAGAATTCAGAAAACGGCAAGCAAAATTGAATGGACACTTTACAAGAAGCCACAGCAGGAGCTGTGCATGGCAGGGAGGCACCACAACTGACTCCCATAGGTCAGCAACATTAATAGAACTCAAAGCTATCTGGCCAATAATGTTCAAAAACGTCAGCACAAAAACATGATTTACACATTGTTCATGGAACGCTTTTTCTGAAAACGTTTTAGATGAAAAAGCTGCTACTTGTTTCAGAATGTTCAGAGAACATTTGAAAGTAACGTTCCCATAATGTTTGCAACATGATAAAGCTCAAAAAGTTCTAATTCTAAAGTTCTAACCATCTAACGCAGTGCTTTACAGCTTTAACCAGAAAAAGTCTCACTTGTTCAGATATGACCCCCACTGTTGTTGTGCACAGGGTAGATTGGAAGTATTTTACATCTCCTCTGGCATTTCGGTTTGACTTTATTATCGACACTCTTTCCATTCAAGCCTCTGCTCTCCTCTTTACTCACACTTCATCTGTAATTCTAATATAGTCTGCAGTGACACCTCAGAGAATCCACAGCTCACAACCCAATTAGTGTTGACCTACAGAGGTGTCACCTTTAAATAGGACATATTTCATTTTTGACATCATGAAATAGTATTATTATTTCTGTTGACTGTGTTGCCGAGCCAATTTCCATGATAATGTGTCATTTCTAAAACAATACTCTCTGACAGCAGAGACTAAATAGCTTCTGTTAACTATTGTGAGCTAACTGATAACACTGACCTACGAGTATCCGTGGATTCTGCCAGCAGTCCTTGCGTTAATGCTGAAATGAACCTTATTAACCTTCTTGCAACTGCAGTTTCCTTCTAACAGAACTTGTAGCCATTGAGTATGATATAACAAGGTGCTGCTGTTTTATGTATGTGACTTTAGTGAGAATCATACTATATTATAAAACCATGTGGGCTCCACAGGGGAAATCATCACAAAGGTGGTGGCAACATGATTCTGAAAGGATTGTTTCGTATATGGACTCTCTATGGAGTGGTTCAAAACTCACAGCCGCACAACCATAAAACAGTTACTTTCGATGTGTGGTTGTCACCTGTTTTGGTCACATATATACAATTTACAGCACTATTTGAAAAAGATTCAAAGAGTGTCAAAATTAAAATAAAAATTTGACTATGAACATTTTGAAGTAAGCATTTTGGCTGTTGTAAGTTAGCAACTTTTGATCACCTGTCGATTACCTGAGGAATCATATGAAGAAGGTTTGAATAGGATGTGAATGATAAAAGCTGGAGGACTGCAGAACGCGGTCAATAACGCTGAAGAATGAGAGCACTGATTAGACATTCCATTGGATGGATCCCAAACTGGAGGATGCAGCTTTAGTGAACCAGTGAATGGAGAAAACTTAAAGTGAACATAGAGATTTTACACTACATTTGATATGGAATATAGCCGTACATGTGATGATATCTGTAATACTAAAATATACCAGACAAAACTTTAAAAGTTTGCTTTTGGTTCTCAGGATACATAGGTGTATGCTGGCTCTTTGAATGATATAATATTTAAAGCATGCTTTTACTTCACATGGTCTGACATTCTGAACCACTTCAAACAACTAACCTTATTTTGTCTAATGGACAAAAAAAAGGTAAAGACCCATAGTTATAATACCAAGAAAAAAAATCCAATTCAGATATTACAAATTACCAACTAAAAAGAGATATTTTCTGGAATCTAATTTTATACAATACCCTTTAATCATGTGCAGTATTTTTTCCCCCCAGCAAATTAAAAAAATAAATAAATAAGCTTCTAACACTGATTATATAGAACCTTTATGGGGGAGACTGGGAAGTGTCATGACACAGGGTGGGTTGTAACATCATTCGTTTTTGAAATTCAGAAAAATCTAGTTAAGATTGCTCAAGTTTACTCAAAATCCAATTTATGAAAACTTGATTACACTAAATAAAGTTAACAAATGTACAGTGTTCAAAGCTTTAACCAATTCTCATTATTAATTCAATTAACCAATTCTCCTTTACATCTATGATTCATGATTCATTACATTGAAGATTTATGAAGGTGGTCATCCTCATTTATAATTAAGCAGTCATACAAAGATTCGATCACTTATACATTAACTTACACCTGGGTGTAGGTTGGATTTTGATATTGGTGGGTGTAACAGCAGACCCCCCCCCCCCCCCCCCCCCCCCCCCCCCCCCCCC